CCTCTGCCTTCAGCTCGGGTCATGATCTCAGGGTCCTGGGATCGAGCCCTGCATCAGGCTCTCTGCTCCGTGGGGAGCCTGCTTCCCCCTCTCTCTCTCTCTTTGCCTGCCTCTCTGCCTACTTGTGATCTCTGTCTGTCAAATAAATAAATTAAAAAAAAAAAAGTTCAGAGAGGATGAAAATAATTTTTATTCTTGGTATTGAATTTGTTCTACTCAGTAATTATAGCCACAGTTTAACTTGACATTACAGGACTTTGACTACACTAATTCAGAAAAGACCCTGAGGAATCAATTGACAGATCATGATGGTAGAGTTGCATGTATGAAAATTCCGTGAAATTCAGCAAAAGTCATTGTAAAATCTTCTCAATATTTCTGAATGCTATTTGTTTCCATTAAGTCTAATAACCAGTTTTAGGGTGGATCATATTTCTTGTTAAGTTTGCTTGTTAAACTTGCTTGGAATCAAGTGTAAAAGACACTAGACGGAGGCAGACCTAGAGCAATGAAGGCAGTCCCTTGTTTTCCCCACAAGTGAGTGTCAGTTAAGGAATGCATGCGTTTCAGATGGGGATTATAGTAGGAAAGGTTGATAGTGAACATACTATGATATTTTGCAGTAAGAGATGATAAGAGGTAAGAAAGCTCCATGCAGAATTCTCACACTGAGGAATCGTATTTTCCATCTCTTTCTTTTGAACCCTTAAGAAATGCCAAGCACAGTGTTTCCTTTTCTTCTTATCCCTCATTGTTTTAACTGTTTTAACTGTATTAACTGTTTTAACCCCAGTCTCCCACTTCTCAGATCTTTTCCCAAGTCAGTCATAATGTCTGGGACTCAGCCTAATCATTCTTCTCTACTCTAACAGTTTTCCATGATTTAGCTTTAAAAAGACGACAAAAATGGGGTGCCTGGGTAGCTCAGTTGCCTAAGCAACTGCCCTCGGCTTAGGTCATGATCCTGGAGTCCTGGGATCGAGTCTTGCATCAGGCTTCCTGCTCACAGGGAGTCTGCTTCACTACCTCTGATCTTCCCCCTTCTCATGCTCGCTCTCTCTCTCTCTCTCATTCTCTTAGATAAATAAAATCTTAAAAGGTTGAAAGATGACAAAAAGCCATTATCACTTTATCTTTCAAATTCAGTAAGAAAAATTTTACATTCCATTCATACTCAATTATAATAAAATATAAATTGTGCATCAAAATGCTGCTGCTGTAGGGCAAGATAGAGAGGCATTTGTGAATACATTCATTCAATAGTATTGTCATTCACTGTGTGTATCAAGGCATTGTTATTATGGACCATTTGCTAGAACAGGGAAATCCTTTCACTAAATCAGATTATATGTTAAGTTGCCATTTTGTGCATTTTACATGTAGTAACAAAGATTTTGATGTTAGGGTTTTTTTTTTTTTTTTTTTCCTGAGGTGTCTGTGAAGACCAAAGTAAGGGATTTCCTATTTGTAGAATGACAGGGCATTTCATCAGTTTATTATTGCAAAGCCCTTCATTTTACCTAGCTAATGAGTCCGGTCTGATGTCGCACTGTTCTCCTTTGTTCACACTACTGCCTATTGTGTCGTCTAGCCAAAGGGAATGGTTTCCTCGAACTGCCCCTCCAATCTTTGATCAAGAGTTTCTTAAGGACAGAAACCTCATTCTGCTTCTGTCTGAATCCTCATTATATGGCTGATTGCCTAACATTGGTTTTAAGTAAATGAACATTGATTAACTAACTGAAAGTGTGTACACTTTACCTTTTTTTGTACCTTGTTCATTAAGTCTAAATCCAAGAAGTCCTAACCAAGATCAACGTAGATAATGTCTCCCAGGAATAGTCAGTGAATTCATCAATTTTCTCTGAACTATTATTAATAGCATCTTATGTAAAATTTTTGTATATACTTACTAGTGCACCATATATGATATAATTACTTTGATATAGGCATTATCCCATTTCTCCTGTAGGCTTTTGTGCCAGTTGTTTTTGGCTGTGAATACCCTACCATGTGTATTCTTGGATTGTGTTATCTATACCTTGGATGGTTACCAGGATCCAAGGAGATAAGGTATATAAAGAGCAGTTGACACTGAGTAAGGAAAGAACATAGAGCTGAACTAACATACATGTAAATGTTCTGAATTTGTTCTCTCCTTATCTGACTTTAAGCTAAACTCCTTGAAGGTAGGTAGGAGTTAATTATGTTTCCTTTTCTACAGCAACAGTACCTAGCAAGTGCTTTAGTCTTATTAGATGCCCAAATTTATATGGAATGAATGAACAGAAACTTAGTCATTCTTGATAATGGTAATATTTATGGCACTTTTATTTAAGATTTAAAATTTGATTAGTAAATGTTGAAAGGAAAGAGATAATCTTGGGTATTTGTGTTACTTAATTCTTGGCCTTCATCCGAAGTTTACCTGTCATTCTCTAGATATTTATGTAAAGAGTATATAATATGCTATAAATTATCCTGAAGCAGTTCCCCAAAATACAGTTTTTAGTCTGGTTGTTATATCAGGCATCCTGACAGTGAAAGGAATTTGAAATATTTTAGGAAAACTCTAAGTCACTTAAAAATGCAACCCAGATTTAAATGATTTGAACTTACTTGGATTCTAACTCTTTGCCAAATTCAGTCAAGTTATGGAAATAAAGTTGTGTTTAACTCTGTTACTGTGGACCATTCTTATTTAGAGAAATGTTTTAAATATTTGGAATTGTTTACATTTAGAATTGAAGGAACCTAGAGATTAAACCCCTAACGTTTGTTCAAAAATAAAAAGGTGTGATAATAAACATGTGGAAATAGAAATTTGTCCATTTTTATAATTGATAGAAAATCTTACAATGCTGAAGTGGCTGGTGAATACTGGAAAATAAACTAAAGGGCATTCTTACCTCTAGGCTTCCCTCAGTGCTAGTGGCAGTTTTTATGTTTTAAGAACTGGAGGAGCGAAAACATACAATGAGAGCAACATTGCAGAAGGCAGTCATTAAAGCATTGATTCTCAGTGAGTGAGGTTGGCATGTTCCCCTGGGGGAGTATGTTAATTCCCTGGGTTTTCTTGTGTTGTGTATGCTTTTCTTTAACAAAATGTTTCTTCATCCGTACCCATTCCCCCAAAAAAGACTAAGAAGACTAAGCTCTAACTTAAGGTTATAACATTGACAGCCTTCTCAGTTCTGAAGATCTGTACAGATTGTCTTTAACATCACTTGTTGTTCATCCCGAGTAATTTGCGAGTGGCTGGTGTGTGTCTTGTCATTGGACTAGATGTTGGGGGATACAAGGATAGACATAACTCTCTTATTCCTTAAAGCTAACTGGTCAGGAGGTATCTTCTAAAATCTTGTCCCTTACATCTCTGCTAACACGAGAAATGTTAAAAGTTTTGTGATAAAAGGATCAGCTATTTCTTTTACTTCGGTAATAGTAAATGTTTTATCTCCACGTTGACAGGACCAAGAAACTTCTAAAGAAAACAATGTAGCTTGTTCTCTAGTATTTTCCCAAGCTATTTAACTACCAGACCCTTTTGTGCGTCATGGGTCTTAACATTGCAAGGGCTATAAATGCTATGCAGCACACAGTTTAGGAACCTGCACTGAAATCGTTATTGGCCAAGTGGGTGCAGTGAGAGCAGCTGGGGCAGAGAGCTGGGAGGTCTTTACATATGGGATTACACACTCCAAACCTGGAATGAGTAGTGGAAATGGAATAGTGGGGAAGGCAGTTTAGGGCTAGGCAGAAAGAACAGTGCGCAAATGCACAAGTGTTTGACAGAGCTTGGTGTTTTTGAGGAAGTCCCAAGTAGTTGAGTATCGTTAAACCAAAGTGGGGAAAGAAGCTACACCAAAGGACGACTTGGGGCCTTTGAAATGTTTAAGAAGCCTTGAATAGCATGAGCAATGTTTAAAGCCTGTAGTAATCGGTTCCCAAATTTCAGAGTTATGTAAGATCTGTCATACTTTATGGTGAAAACCAGTTCTCCATAGGGGGAAGAAAAATTCCTGATTTATCAAAAACTCACAAAAATATGAAATATTATGGCTGAATCATCTACCATGTGCTGCTATTGAATTCTTAAGGTTATTTAATGATACTTTTGAAAAATTTTTGAATCATCTGTGAACATTTAATATGGTACATTAGGAACGATAAGGCAATTTTCCATGTTGAAAGTTTCAAGTTAACTAATTTCTATTTTAGAATTTATTGTAGGAGAATCATCACACATAAAGACAGAACAATGTGATGTTATTTTTATATTTTAGAATTTGAAGTTTAACTGAGCTTTCCCTACTATCATTGATGTGCATTATAAAATATCAGAAAGTACACAGAAATAGAAAAAAACAAAGTGGTTTTGTGCCATAAAGAGACAAATGTGCATGTCGGTATTTTTTGCTGACAAATTCGTTTTACATACTTATAATTTTACTAAACACAGTGCTGCTACTTTTTTACATTTTCCCATGTAAATTTTTTGTAAATACCACATTTAAAGACTATATAACATATCATTCAGAGGATATACCAATGTTTGTGTAGCTGTAGATAGTCTTCAGTTTTTTTAAGTATATTTTTAGATGGTTTCTATTTTCTTTGTTATTATAAATAGTTTGTATATATAGTTCCAGAATTGTAATGCTTGAGTCAAAAAGTAGGAATATGTTTAAGGCTCCTGAAGCGTATTTTCGAATTACTTACCAAAACAGTGCAAGTGATTTATATTTCCACTGGGAGTGTATTGAAATATTTATTTCACTAGGTATTGAGACCAATCATTTAAAAAAAAAAAGCAACAAAAATAACAAAGCAAACTTTGTTGGTTCAGTAGTTTAAAAATCTGGACCCATATTGTTCTGTTTATGGTTTTTATGGTAAGCAATATTTCAGTTAAATTATCCTTTTTTTTTTTTTTAAATCCTTTGTGTAAACAAATGTAAGAATTTTCTTTTGATATGAACCTGCTTTTTATTTTGGAGGTATCCATCACGAATTGAAAAAATCGACTATGAGGAGGGCAAGATGTTGGTCCATTTTGAGCGTTGGAGTCACCGTTATGATGAATGGATTTACTGGGATAGCAATAGGTTGCGACCACTGGAGAGACCTGCATTAAGAAAAGAAGGGTTAAAAGATGAGGAAGATTTCTTTGTAAGTAGCAGCTTTTCCATTTGGTAGCCATGTAATACATTTCAAAAGGAATTCTGTTAAATATTACAAAAGCTTAATTTTATAAAGGAAATGCTTATTTATTATACATGGTATTGATCTCAAAAGTTGTTTAAAATAGGATTTTAAAGCTGGAGAAGAAGTTCTGGCTCGCTGGACAGACTGTCGCTATTACCCTGCCAAGATTGAAGCAATTAACAAAGAAGGTATGTATTTGAGGTGATCTGAGATTTACAGTGGGATTAATAGTAAAATTTAACTGGATTTCTAATTTTAATTAATGTGTGTAATTGTTATATATGGTTGTTACTTCTCTTTGTTTCAGACTTTACTTTCCTTCTAATATTCTTTTTTGGGAGTATTTTATTTGCAGTATATAGGGTAACATGACACCTAATCTACTGCCAAAATAAATTTTAAATTAGGAGCGGTAGATAGTTGGTTAAAATTGTGCAGCATTCAGTTCACAGGTTTACATTGTATGCATTTTATTTCTTATTCTCTTCTTCTTTATTTCTGTTTCTGTTTGTGGGCCAAGTTATTTTTATGAGCGCCTCAACCAGAATGTGAGGGAAGATTAAAGATAAAAGGAAATTCAAATCAGGTTACCTTGGAAGTAAAATATAGTATAGTGTTTTCTGAGGAAGGAGTGTGAAAATTTATCAGTTTGAGGATTTCCTTTATTGGATCTTTCCCCTGCCCGTTTTCTTTATTTCTACAAATAAAATTGGGACTGTTAAGTTTCCTAATAGCCTTTGTGGTATCTAATGCTGATATTGAGCAAAAATTACTGAACTGATCAGAAATGTTGACAATAACACAGAAATCAGGTGTGTTAGTGTGGCCGAAGGCGAATACTTCTGTTGGGACAGTAATGTATTGAAAAAAAAACAGAACTTCTAGACTGATTAATTTGGAAAGGCTTGAGAATTAGTATTTAAATTAGTATTAGAAATATACTTAAATATTTTATTTTTTAAATTTCTTATTTAAAATTTCACTTTAAAAAGCTATAAAATAGTTTACAAGTATATTTTTCAAGTCAGTAATACATTAGTTTTCTATAATGATTATTTTTTAAACTTGACCACTCATTCATTCTTTTCACTGAAGAAACACATTGAGTGGCAGCTTCTTTGCAAGAGGAGCATTTAATCTAAGTAAGGTGATGCTTCCTTTAAACCTGAAAGACAGACGAGTCAGCTAGATAAAGAAGGAATGAAAGGCTTTTTCAGACAGGAGAAATGGTATATTGCAGGAGAGCAGAAGAGAGGCCTGTCACTTTTTAGGAATTGCAAGACTTTGATGTGACTGGAGTGAAAGAGCCCTTTAAAGGGAACAGAATATCAGAAGAGGTGGAAGAGAGAAGCAAAGATCTGTGTATGCAATGTCTTGTTGCAGAATTTGAATTTTATTTGGAGATGATGGGCAAGAACTGTGGAAGGTATTTAAGCTGAGGAGATTTAAAGTAACAAACTTGAGAAAAAATGGGAGGTAAGAGGAGATAAAAGGGGAAAACATTTAAAGAGATAAAGAATGTTAGGTGTGGAAAAGTAAATCGTTGTTTAGCTTGAAATTATGACATAACTTTACAAAGGCCTATTCCAATGTATTGTTTTAAGGAATTGAAATAACAGTTCTGGCTATGATTTTACTGCCTACCACTAGTCACCTTACTTCCGGAAGACTTGAGGAGCATCTCCATTATTAGGTTTGCAGGTCACTTGCTTCCATGCTTAAAGCTCTTTGGGAGTGTAGCATATTACAAGTCTGTGTGTACATACACTTGCAATGCCCTCAGAAGCAAAGCCCCCATATTTTATCCTATCCCGTTTGTCCATGGGCATAGAAAATAAAATTAAAATTGCACTGGTGGAGAACGAAGACACTTAACTGCAGTCTCTGCCATTTCAGGAGGAGTTTAAGTAAGCCCTTAGTGAAATATTGACAGATGTAATTTCTTTTTAAAAAGTCTCTATTGGAGGTATTTGTCTTGTGATTTCTGTATGCTCCACAAGGTGGATGAACCTGCTTGCCATGCCCAAAGAAAAACAATGCAAAGGATGCCTTCAAGAGGCCTTCTGTTCACTGTAGGAGCTAAACAAAATGAACAAAAATAGACATTAAGGTGTTTGAAATATGTCTTAGAGAAATTGAAGAGGAGGGACAGATCTGTAAACTGGAAGGCACAAGGAAGTGTTCATATTATGGGTGGGATTTGAAGAGCTGGTCCTTGAAGAATAGGTTGGAGAGAGGAAAGGAGAAAGGCATCACAAGAGCAGAAACAGTGTGATCAACAGTGGGGAGGGATGAATGTCCGGTTGACATAGTGTGGCGCCTGCTCTCCTCTGGAAGGCCATTATTGAAGAAGGAAGAGGACAGTTACAGGAATGATGGTAGTATAAGGTGTATGTATGGTTTGGTATTCTCAAAATTTTACCAGTGTTTTTATATCCTTGCTACTTAGTGGTCAGTTTTTTTTCCGTAACTTGGGTCTAGATCTTTATATCTGTAATATTGTGAATTATGCTAATTATAGAAAAGATGAAATCCTATGATGTTCAAATTGCAAAATTAAGGAAAATCTTTATACATCTATATCTGGCTTTGGTGCCAACTTCTAAGCCAAACATAATTACCACACTTATTGTTTATACTTCTTTTGTAAAGGTCTAGTATCTGTTTCCTTAAAGTGGCTCTCAGCCCTCATTTGTACAGAAATGATAGAAAATTATTGAAATTTCTTAAGTATAAAATCTGTGTAATTTATATGTTTTGTGGTAGTACTGACTTTTGTTGACTTGAGAACATGGTCTCTGTAACCAAAAGTGAATACACTTTGTGATTGTCGTGAGAACACGGTCTCAAGCTCTAAACGCAGAATGAGTGTGTGGGAAAGGCATGGGGATGGGGATGTAGTTATGGCTGTGCTGCTGCTTAGTGGACTGCTGTGGACAGAGCCTTCAGCCTCCTTGGAATTCAGTGTTCTGATCTGCAGAGCAACAGTGTCATCTAGATGGCCTGTATTTTCTAACTTAGAAGCTTGTGGATCTGATTCTTAATTGCTAGTTTGTTAATACTGTAAACAGAATAATCTTTCCTTGAGTAAATGACTTTTTTTGGTCTATCGGTTCTTTCTCTCTAAAAAGAAACTTCCAAAGAGAGCAAAGGATAATTCCTATAGATAGATAATTCCTTGGGATTTCTTTGTAAATAATGATTTTATTAGGGGAAAGGGAAAATAAACTTTAACCAACTTGATGGAGTTCTTAACGGGTGTGTGTTTGCAGTTACTGCAGTTACAGTGTATATACTTCTGTCAGGGCGTTACTGGTTAGATTTCAAGTGTTGCTGTAAAGTTTAGTTGTATTTTCTAATGATTATGACTTGCTCCTGTTTCAGGAACATTCACAGTTCAGTTTTATGATGGAGTAATTCGTTGTTTAAAAAGAATGCACATTAAGGCCATGCCCGAGGATGCTAAGGGGCAGGTAAGGGTGCTCAGCATTCCTAGCTACCCAAAGGGATGTCTTCTTGAATGGTGACAATCAAAAAAAGTTTTTATATATATATATTTTAAAGTGAACTAATTGTAGGATTATGTGCTGATAGCCCCAAATAGCAGCAAGAAAAAGAAGCTTAGAATGTAAAATAAATTTATACACTTGATTTTTGCTTCTTTGGCTTTAGACCTGCTAAAGTTATAGGTCACTAGTTTCTGTTCCAGGTGAAATCCCAGCATCCACTAAGCTGGTGTTGTCCTATCGACCCAGCTGGATCGTGTAACCAGTCTATGGGAAGTGAGGTAAGTGCCTTTTTTTAATTTCATCTTGTTTTTCCTGGTATATAGTATCATTTAGAAAGTTAATTTTTAATATAAATTTTATATTGAGTTTCTTATCTTCTTCTTTCCTTTTATAAATCATAGTCCTTAATCTTCTTTTAAAAGGCGCTTACCTGACACTCTAGGCTGTTTCAGGTAGGGCTTTCTGAGTCATGGACGTAAGCAGTCTGTTACATGCTTTGTCACTGCTCAAAGCAAGAAAGAACGGTAAGCATTTAAAGGAGAATCTGGGATGAAGTTAAAACCATGATTCCATTGGTTGAATATGTTTCCTGAAAGACTGGAAAGAAAAGGTGCCAGTAGAAATTTAAAAGATTTTCTTTTATGTTCTGCTGTTATTTGGGATTTTCAGCACCTGGACCTACAATTAATTTTTAAGAAATGAAAGTAATCTATGAAAATGTCTAATATGGATATATGCTACATATTTGTTCCATACTGTGCAGTGAAAAGTATCATTCTGAAATGTGTTGAAATCGTCTGGTCAGCTCCAGCCAAATGTATACAAATGTATATCACCGCATTTAAAAAAAAAATGATTCCTGATAAATTCCGAGAAGTATGATTGTTTTAAATCACCTGGTTTTCAAAAATTTAGTTTTGCAGTCATTAGCTAGCAGAATTTTCTTCCCCAATTAATATGGAAATGCAATTTAAAATGGAATTGCTTTTGATCAGGAAATTGCTTTGTGTCTTCCTACCTGTACGTATAAATAAAATGTTCCTTTGAGCATTCAGTGGTGTGATTTCTTGGTTACTGCATAGAGAGATTGATTAAAACATTGGGAACTTAGTTTAATATACATCTTTAATTAAAATTCTCTCTCTCTCTCTCTCTCTCTCTCTTTTTTTTTTTTTTTTTTTGCTTTAAAGCTTTTCTTTTATTCTGGTTATTCAAATGTTGGTGAGATGGCACTAAGCCTAAAACTTCATTTTTTTCCAAAGTGGGATACCAAGCAAATTTTGGTAAAATTACAAGTCAAAAAATTTATGGGATGTATTGGGTGTTTACTTTTAGTAAGTAGTTACATCCAAAATATAAACTACTGAAAGAAAATAGGGGTAACATTGCATTTTTTTTTTTTTTTTTAAGAGAGAGAGAGAACTTGAGAGTGTGCACAGGCCAGGTTGGTGGGGGGGTGGGGGAGTGGGGGGTGAGTGGTAGCGGACACAGGGCTCGATTTCGCAGCCCTGAGATTACTACCTGGGCTGAAATCAGGAGTCAGAAGCTTAACCGACTGAACCACTCAGGCACCCTGAGTAACACTATTATTTCTTTTAATTTACGTTTTTCTTCATAATTTTTAATACTAGCACACTAAAATATTGGTAGAATTGTTTTTTTATAAAATGGCCTCATTTTATAAGTGTCTTTTTTTTCCCAAAAAGTTTTTTACTTGTTTTCATGTAGGGAATATACTAAGTCAGGTGTTGTGTGGGTAGTGCTGAGAGAATCCAACTTTGCATGTATCTTAGAAATTTTGAGTACTTTGAGAATTCCTTTGTAAAGATACACAGTAAATTTCTTTTACTAAATTAGCAAAGATAAATTGATGCAGTATATATATATATATATTCTTCCCTAAACTTTCTGTAGCTTTTTCTGTCCTACTTTTTCTTTTTGCAAGTGTGCTGATGTAATACTCACTAATATTAAAGATTTGCTTTTAAGGTCCTCTACTATTTATAAAAAATTTTTTGCATACATTATTTAATTGGGTTTTCATAGCAAATCCTTTGACACAGCTATAGACTGATACTTCTATTTCACAGTTGAGGAATTCAGAACTTAGAGAATTGAGTGACTGACTTAGAATTTCGTATAACCGTAATGCAGAGTGATTCTGAACTCAATCTGATTTATTAATTGTGTACTGCTCTGTTGTCTACAGGGAGCTTTGAAGCAGATCATTAATTCTAATTCATGGAATGATCACACCAGTTAATTTTAATAGTGGATCTTACCTGTTTAAAAATAGAAGGGCAGTATAATGGGAGAATTCTTTAATGACACAAATGCAGTGATTCCATGATTAACAAGTCATATGATCAGGAACTTTAAAAAAATTATCTGATTGTACTTTTAAGAGCTACAATATGAATCTCTCCCAGTTTTCTGTTCAGAAAGAAGGTGGGGGAAAAAAGAGAGAAAAGAGGTGGGGATGGAATTTACCCCTGGCATTTTTCAGCATTTCTCTAACAACTTAAAAATTTCCTCACAATGTGGAACAGAGAATTAAGCACTCTCTCTTCATAAGACCATACAGGTATGATCTCTCTGAATTTGGCACTTTGCTAGTTCGGCTATATTTTTGTTTCCGTTTCTGCTTTGTTGCTTACTGTCCATTTCATCGGCGAGGTGCTTTTTTTCTCTAATACTTAGTGTCAGTCTCAAGGCTCAGTTTAGCTGTAGCCCTTTGACTTACTCAGACTGTTCTTGCCCCTTGTGCCTGTTCTCTTACACTCTGATTGCCATGGCTTTGTCTAATGGTATTCCTCTTCCTGGCGGTGCCCATTGTCTCCTTTCCTTCTGCCCTTGGCCTTGAAGATTCCTGCTGCAGTGCTCACCTCATCTGTTATGTTTCCTGAAGCCTTCTAGTAGCCTTTCTCTTAAGTCAAGATTAATCTTTTGTTTTCTTCCAAGGTATTTTGTTTATTCCTCCACTGCCTCTTCTGTCACACTGTCTTATAGTTAATTTTATTTGCCTTTCAGTTCCTTATAGGTAACAACAAAAAACATGGCTCTAAGTATACCTGGGATTGGACAGTACTGGTTTATCTGGTTTGTTTTGTTTTGTTTTACAAATTAGAGACCTAAACCTGTATTTCACAACTGTGGGTTTTTTTTTTTTTTTTAAGATTTTTATTTATTTGAGAGTGAGTGAGAGAGAGATCATGAGCAGTGGGGGAGAGGTAGAGGGAGAAGCAAACTCCCTGTTGAGCAGGGAACCAGATGCTGGGTTCCAGCCGGATCCTGGATTCCAGGATGTGGGGCTGGATCCCACCGAAGGCAAACACTTAACCGACTGAGCCATTGAGACACCCCATGTCTTAATTCACTTTAATAAGATATGTACTGGGGACACAGTTTAAATACTGAAAAAGCTATATGCTGGTCATTTTCCAGGCAGGAGCAAAGGCGTTCCTTCTAGGCAGGAGCAGGGCCAATGCATTTTTGGGGTCTTTCAGGCAGCATCTCTTAGGAATTGTCTCATGAATGCTTAGCATGCTTCTTGGACATGTAGCAAGGTATTCAATAGAAAATTGGGTGAATGTTTTAGGTGCAATCACATGAGAGTTTTAGTTCATTTTAATCATGGGGACATAACGAAACAGATTTTGTTTGTTGGTTTATTTTTAATGGCTTATTGTCTTCATATATTTTCAAGACTGAGCAGCCATCAACCTGTATCACCTAATGATTGACTTTTGTTAATGAAACCTGGGAAGTAAATGCATTTGATGTTGTGAAGTAGTTTTTAGTTATATGGACTAAGAATTAAATGTATTACCCATTTTGGTTGAATAAGAGTTAGTCTCTTTGAAGTTTAGTGTTCTCAGTGGAAGATTAACTGTAGAGATAGTATAAATACTTGTTTTAAAAAAATCTTTTTGATTGTGAAAATTAAAATGTTAGCACCACTTTTTAAGTATCTTTTTATTTTTTTACAACAAGCATTTTTAGTTAAAAATAAAATAGTAATAGTAAAAATTATTTAGCAACAAACTGAGAATATAAACACAGGAAGAGTAAGCATTCATATCTCAGAAGAATGGCGATCCACACAAATACTAGGAAGTTGAAGAGAGAGGGAAATTAGTCTGGAGCCTGACTGCATGTATTTCCCCTTGGTCAAATCAGATGGCTCTCTTTCACTGTAGTACTAAGCTGTTGTGATAAATTGGTGTGCAAATTTTCAAAGCTTTAAGAATTAATAAAATCATACCTTGAATTCTGTGAAGTTGACCATATTGTGAGTGGTACATTCTTCCTAATAAGGAAGAGTAATTTGTTCAATGGAAGTACATTTCTTTTAATCTTTACAGAATTGCAACGAAAGCATTTTTTCTCTTCTTTTACGGTTTGTTGTATTCAGAAAAGAAATGCAGTTTGCCACTTGAATCTAAAGTGCTAAGAGCACCATGCAGTGTTCCATATTTATTAAAGGGTTGCCTCTCTCATTAGGTTTTATTTCTGTGGAAATATATCAAAGGAATATCTGTTACTGAATATTTTCTAAGTTTATGTAAGGTTATACAATCCAAGTAACCCATTAGATCATTAAATTTGATCATCACCATGTTGATTTATCTTATAAATTAATTAATTCAGTTTTTATATTTGTGTGCATGTGAGGGTGGCTTTGGAAATGTGAGACCTGTTTGTATTCATTGGTGTAATTAAATGTTGATGAGTTTTTTAATACTTCACATGTTTTTGTGTTTTTCCTCCGGAGGATTGGATAGCTCTAGTCAAAGCAGCTGCCGCGGCTGCAGCCAAGAATAAAACCGGGAGCAAGCCTCGCGCCAGCGCCAACAGCAATAAAGAGAAAGAGAAAGATGACAGGAAATGGTTTAAAGTACCTTCAAAGAAGGAAGAGACTTCAACTTCTATAGCTTCTGCAGAAGTTGAGAAGAAGGAAGATCTGCCCACATCTAGTGAAACATTTGGTACAAAATATGTTCTTACGTTCATTCTTCGTGGCAGGGTAAACTCGCTAGACAGTAGGCCAGACCCTTTGGTTACCTGCAGTTTGAGGGTATGGTGGAATGATTGGGCTCTTCCCTTGCATGAGGGAAGAAGTTAACTTCTGTAGCAGGTTGCAGAGCTGAAAATTACTGGTCTAATATGGCTACTGGATAACTGGTGACCTTAGTATTCTTCAATAGAAATGAGTTCCGGTTTTGACTTTTAAGCTCTTATTAGTAGGCTTTGGGGTTTTTGTTTTGTGATTTTTTTTCCCTTTGACTTTTTAAGTGCTTCTGCATGTATTTTACTATGTAATATGGAAAAAGCAGTGAGTCACTTTCTTCCTGCTTTTCTTTACTAAAGAATAACTGCTTAATGGTTCTTTATTTCTAATATATCAGTCTGGAGAAATTTGTGTTTTTTAAAGTTCTGTGTTAAGCACTAGGTTAAAAATAAGTGCAAAGCATTTTTACTATTTTGCTATCTAAAAAAAAAAAAATAATGTGTTTTAACTTTGGATTCTAGATAAACTCTCATATATGTATTCTATTAAAAGTAGGACTTCATGTAGAGAACGTTCCAAAGATGGTCTTTCCACAGCCAGAGAGCACATTATCAAACAAGAGGAAAAATAATCAAGGCAACTCATTTCAGGCAAAGAGAGCTCGACTTAACAAGATTACTGGTAAACTACAATGATTTTTTTGGGGTGGGGGGGGAAGGATTGGAGGGTTTGATTTTAGAGTAGTCTGTTTTTAATAAAGTAAAATGTATCTTGTGGTTAAGTGTTAACAAGTAGGTTAACAAGAAAGACAGCTACTTTATGGTTCTTCAAGGTCAGCATCCTCCAGCACTGTCAGCTTTTTCTTTTGTGAAATGTGAAAACTATCACATTCTTTCTACCTACCTCACAGGGATGTTGTGAGGATTGATAGGATCAAATGTGATAAAATTCCATAGTTTTAAAATCACCTGGTAGGAGTAGTTTCTATAAACATTGAATTATCTGCTTTTGTCAATCTGTGGTGACATCATCTCTGTGGTTCTAAATATTATTATATAAACATTTCTTACTCTTGCCCTGTCTCATTAAGGATGGTAGCAAATAAGGGGCGCCTGGCTGGCTCAGTCCGTGGAGCAAGTAACTCTTGATCTAGGGATGGTGTGTTCAAGCCCCATGTTGGGTGTAGAGATTCCTTGAAAAAATAAAATCCGAAAAAAAAAAAAATAAAAAAAGATGGTAGCAATGTGGTTGGAAAGATGAATACTTAATTAATTAAATGTAGTTCCTGAATGTGTTAATTCCAAAGTAAAAGCACTTTTCTGAGTTTCTCAAATTTATCTTCAGGTTGGTCCTTAGAAGCTCGTCTTATTTTTCTGTGTTTTGTTAACAATTTAGGAAGTAGGGTGCTAGGATGGTGAAAACTCTGGAAGTCTAGCCTGGTCAGTGTTCACAGGAGAAGAGATTTAAGTATCTGAAGCAGGGCCAGTCATACTAGGCCGTGTGTCACTTCCAAGACCTGTTCAGCCTAATGATTCTCGTCTTTCAAAAAATTGTGAGCATACTTAATTTTTCTTGGTATATGCTATAAGGGAAATTAAAATACTTCCAAGTATTTAGTCATATGTTTTTATTTTAAGGACAAAGTGGTTTTTAGTGCCTAATAAAGCTGTATAAACCTTCGTTGGCATTCTTTTAAATAATACGAAGAAGCTTTGGTTTCATTGTTAGATCAAAGAATAAATGGAAATTAGACATGTTGACCATTTTCTGAAGAATAGAAGCCCACTGAAAAATGACTGCAGCTGAGGGCTCTTTCGGACCACTGTTGTATCATGGTAGTGTTCATCTTAAGTGATTAGAATTGGTTTCAACAGGTGAGAATACGTAGTCTTTGTATTTGTTAATACTGTTTTTGTGCCTTTTTCTGGTAAAGGATATTTTTGACCCCAGGTCAGGAAATATTTCAAATGAATTCACCCATTCCGCCTTTTCCTTAGAAACTGTTAGCTTTGTAGAAAGTCAAAATGTTATCGAGGTGGTTGTTATGATGGCAGTTTAAGACTTCGTTTGGCCCTAGCAGAATGGAAACTAGGGTTGCATACTGTGGCAGAAGAGGAAGAGCACTTCCAGCTCCTGTGAGACCAAGACTGAAAGCGCTACCGGAGGGGTCAAGACCAAGGGAGATGGACGTGACGCTGACGCGGTGTGACTGCCAGCTTACCAGCCTCAAGGGTTGTCCTACAGTCTGGAAATCTGCTTTTAGTTTCAGGCAGTCTGTTCTCACAGGTGCTTTACTGAGAAGTTCAAGCCCAACATGTAAAGAAATAAAAGAAGAAAACAGCCCAGTGCACAACAATGTCTTATTTACATATGGCCTTGAAAAGACAATAGTGGGGAAAACCATATTGCGTCAAGGAAGCTCTAATGCTGGTTGCTTGGTAACACCCTGCACCTCGTATGGAGGGACTGTGCCCCTCACGTCAGCCCTTGGGAGTCTCCAAAGAACAAGTGGTAGTTTGGCAGCAGTAGAAAAATGTGAGATTGTTATGGGTGTGAAGCCATTCTGTGTTTTCCCTTCATTTACTCAGAGTATTGAATATGTGATAATCCTTTTAATAGTTCACATTTCTGCATTTATTCCTGTGTCCACCTTGCAACTATATCCTGCAAAAAGATTACTAGATCTTGCGAGATTGTCTTCACTGGTTGAAGCTCAGGCTTGTTTCTGTGCGGTCAATTTCATTTGTTACCATAAAAAGAGATGAGAACTACTATAAGATAGTGATTTTGTTACAGAATTATGCTATATTTTAAATTTATCAAGCTCGCTTATGGTGTCTTTTTGCCCCTTTACTACTGAGAGGAACACGGCTGTGACTGTGGCAGCGTCTTAGCCTGCACTGATGTCTCCCACCCCCCACCAACTCCATTTTACTTGTTTTTGAAATCATTCTAGCCGGAAATATGTGGACCAGCCACGGGATAAATGTAATTGATATATTCACCCTCCTTTTGTTTCCTCCCCCGTATACACATCCTGTAGAGATTCTAAACCTGAATTCTCTTTAGGGAATGATATAAGATGGCTTTTTTGAAGTTTCTGAATAAGTACATTCTGAAATGATAGTTGCACAGTGTATGTATGTTCTTCCAGAGACTGACTTTTCTTTAGGTAATGTACATTATTGATAGTTACACACTTCACGCATACTGAGTTAGAACTGACAATTTTACGGAGAGATTTAAGAGTCCATACTTCGGGACAAAGTTGCAAGCAAACTTCAAGCGAATTTGAGTAGATTTTAAAATACAGTTTGTTAAGGGAGCAAAAGAAGAAACATCAGCATTTGGTCATGTGTTATTTCTGCTAGTTCTAGGAGTTGCTAGAATTTTAGCCAGCTTAGATAAGTGTGTGCAGGTTATGGAATTTTTTAAAATAATTAAAAAAAACCAACTCTGAATGGGCCAGTCAATGTTATTGGTGATAATTTTAAGAATATTTGATTCTAATTCCCAGCAAGAACTTTGTGTTTTGGAATCCCTGGTTGAAAAGTGGAGCACAAATTTAACTATTTTTCTTTCCTCCCTTTTGCCATTCCAGGGTACTCTGGCCTCTATTCTATTCATTCCTGTTAGCAGAGAGTGACAGCTATGTGTTTTGTAGCAGAAGTGCAGTATTGAGAAACTGTGACTTTGTGGTGACTCATGAATATTTGATACTGTACTTTGACCTGATATTTACCTAATAATCTTGAAATGATTATGCATTCTGTTAAGATAATTACAGATGCATTCTTCTGGAGGCAGACCTATTAGTGATATATTGGTGATAAGTATTTACAGATAACTAAAATTCATTTGTGGCCCTTTCCTTTCACTTAACTCTCTCTTTTCATTTTCTAAGGATATTGCATTTCTTCCCAGCATCTTCACAGGCCAAGAAAACAGATTTTGGACAGTCTCTTAAGGGCAGGAATCCGAGACTTGCCAAAGACTTTACTCTTGTTTCCTTTTGTTGTTTGTATTTGGTGCCTCTTCTGTAAGATGGCGTGGACGTGAAGTACGAAAGCGCTTATCAATTGTACTGGATGCATTTGAATTCTCAGGATGCCACTTACTGTATTTTCTAATCTAATTTTGAGTACTTTCTTATTAAATGCCCTGTTACCTTTTACAAGAACATTACAAAGCTTTATTTTTCATTCACAAACCATTAAGTGGGAATTGCTTTTAATTAATTGGGTCTGTAATATCCTAATTCAAATTCATGAGTATGTCTGAATTTTTTTATTTTAAAGCTTGTAGTCCCTTATTTTAAATTTCGTGATTTGAGATCTTTTCTGTGCACTGATGGGATTTGAAAAGTATTTCTAGAACCTATGTGAAAGGAAGCCAAATTAAGATATTTGATAGACTGAATAGCAAAATATTTGTCTTAGTTGAGTAAACCTTAGAAGTGGAACCTGTACTCAGTTTCCTGCAAAAGAACTTAATCCCTAATTACTTTCCTTTTTATTTCAGTAGCATTGATTCTCAAAAATACTAGCTCGAAAAGAAAAACCAAGGGAACATGGTTTTAAATGTTAAGGAAGTACACCATGCTATATCTCTTTCAGTCACCTAAAAATATGTTCAGAAGGGATACCAATATAATTAGGATTGAATTTATGGTTTACAAGTTTCTGTGAAATTATTTCTATATTGGGTTTTTCCCCCATTTAAATCTATACTTAATATTGTGTGAGCAAACTATATAGACTGTTACATCAACTAGACCAAATGTATCAAAATCATTGTTTTACACCCCACCTTTTCTATCTTAAATTACAATTCTGGGTCCTGGATATTCAACTTCCCAATAAAGGAAGGGTGTTTTTTACCTAATTTAACACTTGGCTCTAATGCTGCTTTAAGGGTATGATTTTAATATTTGAATTCATACTTAGATTACTTAACATCTATCATACTGTTACCTGAAAAAGTCGAGATGTGGCCACATGGATAGCCTGATGTTACTAATATGGCGTTTGTGGGTACTTTTTCTGTTAGGTGTGCTATACACTCCTTCAGTGTAGTATGGGTGATATACTTGCTATAGTAAGTTTACTGTTAAGCCATCAGTTAAATTAACTTCCTTTGAAGCAGAGGTTTTGTGTAACCAACTTCAAAATGACAAAAGTGATTTCTGGTCACTTTTTATGTGCCAGTGGTCATCAGCAAAGACATACTCGTTATCCAAGTAAATGCCTTTAATTTATAAATTAAGGCAGAGTTTTAATGTTTTGCAAAGTTATTTTATATACTCTAGATGAAATATTTTGTTTCCTAAAATTGAGAGTTAGTGATATACATTGGAGAAAACTGGAATTCCTTGGATGAGGCTATAATATTAAGCTCAAATGTAGGAAGGGTCTGCACTTTGGTCCTGTCAGTGTTTTTGGCACTTTTGTAAGAAGATAAGGTACAGTGAGGTACAGGGATAAACCCATAAAGCTTAGATCAAGGGAACCAAGTAGAATTAAAAATAAAGCCATTGTTCTTTTTTTTTTTTTTTTTTTTTTTTTTTTTTGGGTTAGCTAATAAAACAACAAAATCTTACATTGTAGATGTTTGGAAAGATTTCTCAGATCTTAATATTAACTCTCTATTTCAGTTGTATCGACAAAACCCGTATTATGAGTATTAATCTAAGTATTAATCTAAGCAATCTTAGGTTTCTAGACATTAAGTTGTAGAATTAAAAATTTTTAGGCTAAATATGTGTGTGTGTCTAGGTGTGTTTTAAGGACATCTTTAGGAGTAATATTTTTACAGGAAACTAATTGTATAAGCATCTCAGGTGCTGATTTAGTCCTTTAAGGGTGTTTGTATTTTTGACAAGTGAAATTTGAGAATGGGGGATTTCAGCTGCTAAAATTTGGGGGAAGTTGGAGTGAAAGTCATTAATTTTTCTAATAAGCAATTTCTGTACAATTTTTCTCAAGGTTTGTTGGCATCCAAAGCTGTTGGGGTGGATGGTGCTGACAGAAAGGAAGACTGCACTGAAACAGCTCCAATGCTGGAGCAGGTATGAAACGGTAGCATTTGATTGTTTTCAAGGTTCCCAACTGGAATGGTCACGGAGCTATAGTATCCACGTAATTGAAATTGCCCTTGTGATCAGATGTGGGAAAGGGAAGCTAATTAATGGATGATATATTTTTAACTTTGCCTTCTCCCAGGTATACAGATAAAACTACAGACTTTGTTAGTGTTTGTTTTCAGTAGACTGGCATTAAAGCCTCTCTCTCCAACATTTGAAGGCCCAGAGACAGGCATCCCAGGGTATAAGCTTCCAGCTGGACCACCTTTAACTAGCTTACAAAAAGACCCTTACACAAATACTTTTCATTTGTGAGTTAAAACAGGGTTTTTGACATCTAATAAAGCTTCTTTTGTAAGAAGTTTCTTTTATATTGTAACAGTTGGTGTTGTTAGACTGACTATGTGTTTTATGAATTGATCAATGAGCCATACATTTTTGCTAGGATGTATATTTTAATAACTACAAAAAAAAGAATTTTAAAAAACTATGAAGGGTCTGTCTTTAAACCACCTAATAGAGGAATTTAATAGCGAAGGTTGCAGTTGCTAGATTTTGCCTTGGCTACCTTCAGATTCCCATAGTACCTGTACATAATGAACTGTGCATGCTTTTACATTCTCTAAGGGCTTAACTTCTTGGGCACTGTAAGACTATAAGAAAACAGTAATAGCCATAACTGGATTTCCTTGGTTCTCCTGTTTTAAAATCTGAGCCTTAATGTAGTTTTAATATATCCTTTTGTATTTAATTTTCTTTATTAGTAGCCTAATAAAGAAGACTTTAAAATGAGTATCTTTTGCTCTTCTCTATATGCGTTTTACAAAATAGTCCAAATTTAATTGATATTGTATTGAGTTTTTCAGGGTTATTTTAGGCCTGATTTGATAACAGTGCATTGTTTTGGTGCCTCCATTTAATGTTGTATTAAACCAATGGCTTTTAAATTGATAAATATGTCAGCGAATCATACCTTCTGATATTCTGTGATCATTAAGCGGTTAAGTCTCTGCCGTTACTGTCAGTATACTATCAACCAAATTTTAAGTGATTTTTTTTTTACTCTGTATTACTATATTCAACGTCCCAGATATAACAATATTTTGTATTTTCACCACTGTTTATGGTATTCTCAGAATGCAATAAATCAGGGACTTGGGTAATAAAATGTTTCTGGAAAATTCATTACAATGTCAATCTTTCATTATGCACAATCCTGATGCGGTGAATGTGATTGTGAAAATTACTTATTACATGTGGAAGTTAGCATAAAGGGCAGTGCCCATTTCAGAGAGAATTACAGACAAAACATTCTGAAATTAAGTTTAAAAAAGAGAAAGAAAAATTGAGTAACTCGGCTGTTTCTCTTTGCATAAGTAAGTCATTTTTGAGAGTCCTTGCCAGTTTTGTAACAAAGAGACCAATAATCATTACTGAAAACTTTGTAAATTATTTGAGATTTTTAAGGAACATAAGTGCTGTTCCCCTATTTTTTGTCATTCAGATTGATATCATTGTGAAATGTTCTGTAACCAAACTCTTAATTTTTATGCTGTTTGCCCTGCTTCAAAGTTAAAAAGCCGAGTTATAAAACTCTTAATTACAAGTATTGGTATCAACTCTAGACTTAAAGGAGAGGTATTGATTGTCACTAACCTCTGTTGTCTTAATGAGTAAAATAATGTCACTCATGACATCGATTGATAACAGGCCTATAGCCAGAGCTTACTGTGCTAATGGATTTCCTTTATTTACACTTTAAAAAAATTCAAACTGTGGTTTTGAACCCCAATTCTCAGATATTAATTATAGATTATTTAATTGTATTAGGGAATTGTCATGTTATATTTACTTTTGGATAAACCTGCATTAGATGCATAATTCAGTAAGTTTTTAAAAATGTTAATTTGTCCTTGTTTAGAAGTTAAGCACCTTATCAAGATACTAATTTAAGTTTTAAAATCTTGTTTTATAACTTTGTAACTCGAGAGTACTGGATGCTGTAGTGATGTCTCTCACATATGTGAAGATGAACAATAAAATTGTTTATTTACAAGTAATGGCTCTAATTACTTTTCTGGCAACACCTTTTATGATAAGTCCAGGAATCCTTTCCATTTATGGAGTACTTTTTCAAATGATTATTCTGCACTTATACACATGTGTAAATGAGTAAATTCAAGAATAGAAATGATGACAACTGAATGAATGGGACACTTGACACCATCCCTTTTATGTGGTATGTCTGACATGCCATCTGTAGGACATCCAAAGGTGCCCTGCTTAATACCAAACTGTACACCAAAATTTGAGTGCCTTGTATTTTAGTGGGAGCAGAAGGCTGTTTGGTCCCCAGACAATGATCTTTCATATTCGAGAGAACTGCAGACTGCTGACCTGATGGTCATCCCTCACAAAAGATCAGGAAGTAAAAAGGTTCCTGGGGACAAGCATGTTCATAGTGGCTATTTGATTCTATTTTATAGAGGCCTGTCTTAGTGTGGATTTTTTAAAAAGTGTATCTCCTATTTTGCTCTCAGATAAGTATGTCAGAAAGAGATATAACATAGGCATTCCCGATCCATAGATTATAAATCCATCCAATGTGGCTATTCTCTATTGTCTTTGGACACATTCACATCTATTTCTACGTAGGTAGGAAATTTTACTGCCAAATGAATAAAGATTTCCTTTATGAAAGAACTGACAAAGTTCTAATTTTTTTTTAAAAGTATCAGTTGGCAGGAGGAAGGTAAAAATTCTCATCTAAGAATGCGACGTATTTTGTTTTTAAATCCAATGTTTTTAACTTACACTTGGTTTTACTCCTTGGTTTTTTTTGTTGTTGTTGTTGTTGTTGCTTGTTTTGTATTGTTTTTTAGTCTTTTAACTCTGTATTGCTGGTGGCTTTGATTTCATGATGCACTATGCTTATGAAACTCTAGCTTTCAGCACTAAAATGAGTTAAAGATAATGTTTCGTTAATTTGGTCATTGTTTTCCTGTTGAGATCTTTCTTTAAAGGGAAACTGTCTACTTATACCTCTGCATTCAACTTAATAAAGGAGATTGTTTTGTTAGAAAACATCTAAAAGTCAGAAGCTTTTAAATGTATTCCTTTACTGACCTGAAAAATGAAAATGCTGTTTATTTACTTATTATTAAGGTAGTTGGTAATTACGGTTTCAAGTGAGATATGTTTCAGTTTAATACTGTGAAAATCTTTGTCCATCAAGATAATATTTTATTTTCTGAGAATATTATGAATAATACGTTTTTAAAAAGTCAAACTTAGACTAAATGTTGACAGCATCCCTTTAAAGATAGCCTATTCAACTTTTAGTTAATAATTTGTGGGGTTCTTTTTGGTTTTTCATTTGTAATAGAAATGTTATATGTTGCTTAACAATGTTTTTGGATACTAAAGTTGCTTAACAATCAAAATAGAATACAAGAACAAAAATGAAGAAACCAAAATAAAAATATCAATTTTTTATTATTTATTCAGGCGATTTCACCTAAACCTCAAAGTCAGAAAAAAAATGAAGCTGACATTAGCAGTTCTGCCAACACTCAGAAACCTGCACTGTTATCCTCAACTTTGTCTTCAGGGAAGGCTCGCAGCAAGAAATGCAAACATGAATCTGGAGATTCTTCTGGGTGTATAAAACCCCCTAAATCACCACTTTCCCCAGAATTAATACAAGTCGAGGATTTGACGCTTGTATCTCAGCTTTCTTCTTCAGTGATAAATAAAACTAGTGAGCACAGATTTTTAAAAAATAGTTACTTATCCTATAAGATAAATTAAAAACAGTTTGATTGTAGTTATATTGTATTTTTATGAAGTTGCTTTTTACAAATTCAAACTTAAGTGGATATGATAGGGAAGGCTTAAAACTATTTCAGGGGCAAAAAGCATATACATTTCTGACTGATTTATTGTACAGAGACTGTACTGATTGAGAAACCTTACCATTTAATAACGCAAATTTTTACTGTAGTTTGACTATCCTCAATAATAATCCAAGCACAGTGAGAGGCCTGATTCATTACAAAAAACCAAACCAAAACAAAACAAAAAGTTAAAAACTCACACTGGATATTTTTTGTCAATTCCTAAGACTGGTCTTAGGGATAGATCTAGTTATTGTCCCCATTTGTCTCTATCTCCCTGCAGTACATTTTATTCATTCTTGTTCTGGGATTTGGAGTACAAATTTCAATTTATTTTTACTAATGAAGAAGAATGCTTCCTTGGTCTTATTTTTAAAGATTTTACTGTTTCAATACCACTAATCTTGAGGTAGTTAACTTACTAGTCTTTTTAAAAATAGCCTCCATCATGGGTCTTGATACATAAAAGAAGATGACCCTGCATTTCTCTTGTTTAGTATTCTAAATTAGAGACATAAGAAAAACTGTTACATGGGAAGACGCTAGATACAAGAGATACTTCTGTTGGTGATTGATATATCACTTGATCTTAGCCAAAAGGCCGAGAAGCGATTGGCGATTGATACATCAAGTGAATTAGTATCCTGATTAGTAAATGAATATGACACATTTTCTTATGAACTCTTCCATATCCTGTCTTCCACAGTGAAAAATGTTGGCATTGAGAAGACTTTTATCAGTCAACTATAGTTGCCTCCGGTTCCGTTCAGTTGCCATATTTTCTACCAAACCATATTTTTGAATTTTTGAGCAGGATTTGGTACTTTTTTGGTTTGGTTTTGTTCTTTTTAATAAACAGGTAGAAAGAATGGGAACAGAAAAACTCCGTTGTTTCCTCATAAAGCTTCATTGCATTTTGGCATTTATCATATGAAATGATGTCATTAGTAATCACCACAATGTCATGTGACATTGATAAGTATTTTATTTTGAAATTGTTTTGTATTTTGGTATTATAGCCACAATGTTACAGCAATTGAATTTTATTCTTTCATTTTTTTCAATTATCACCATGTCGTTTTTTGTTTTGATTTTTGTAAAATTACTTTTAAATACCCAAAACATCAAGCTCTTTAGACCACTCTTATTTCCTCCTTCTAAGTTAACATGAGTTTATTGGCCTGTGTAATCCTGCCTGTTCTGAATTCTTCCATGTTTACATCCACGTAGAAAGAAGAAAACTAAAGGTTAAAAAAAAAAAAAGCAAAAAAAAAACCAAGCGGAAATTTTGCGTTACATAGAAGATGTTTAATCGACCCACCAAGTTAGCTTATTAAAACAAAACAAAACAAAAAAAAACACAAAAAAACCCCCATGAGGACAAGAATAGTGTTCTGTTCTTTTAAGTCCTCATTATTTGCCTATAATAAGTACTATAAATTGTTTATGTTCTATTTTTTTTAATGAATCAGGCCCAAACTTACTTTTATAAAAATCCATTTGTGGGAATGAGGGTGGGATAAACTTATTTACGTTACTTTTATTTTGGCAAGAGAAGCACTAACTCTACAATGCATGTCAGATTTTTGTCACCTATGCCCCTTGCCTTTTTTTTTTCCCTTCGAGTTTCTAGATTGTAATGTAGCAAAAGGAATATATATATTTATATATTTAATTTTTAAAAAATCTCAGCTCTACAGAGACTATTTTCCCAAAGGAAGAATGACAACTATCACAATGATCTGCAATTAGAGAATTAACTGTAGTCTGTCTCTTGGGAAACTACCTGAAATCAATGTTCCATGTTTTTTTTTCTTTTTGGTTCTAGTAGGCTTTAGATTTTAGAAGTTTTGATTAACTTTTTGTGAATGAGGGCACAGTTTTTGCCTTTGATTACTTTTGGAACATGCCGTTCCTTGTGGATACCTTACAACATCAGAGGGCAGAATTTGAATCATTTTTCCCATTTATCTCCTTAAATATTATAAGATGATCCTGGCATGTGTCTGCTTCGTGAACATTGAAGATCTTTTTCTAGGTTCTCCACAGCCCGTGAACCCCCCTAGACCTTTCAAGCATAGTGAACGGAGAAGAAGATCTCAGCGCTTAGCCACCTTGCCCATGCCTGATGATTCCGTAGAAAAGGTTTCTCCTCCCTCTCCAGCCACTGATGGGAAAGTATTCTCCATCAGTTCTCAAAATCCGCAAGAGTCTTCAGTACCAGAGGGTAATGTATATTGATTTCCTATAGAACCAAACATAAAAGAGATAAAGATTATGAAAACACTAGGAAGTTTCTTCTTTTTCCTTATTACGTCTTTTGGACTTAACAAGCACTTCGTTTACCCTACAAATATTTGAGTGCCTTCTGTCATGCCAGGCACTGTTTAACTTCGTTAACATTTTAGTCCACATTGATTTTTAATGAAGCCAGTTTATCTGTGTTAATACTCTGTTACATTCTTTATTTTGTATAGTGCCTGATGTTGCACATTTGTCACTTGAGAAGCTGGGACCCTGTCTCCCTCTTGACTTAAGTCGTGGTTCAGAAGTTTCAGCACCACTAGCCCCAGATCCCGCTTACCATAATGAATGTCCCAGGGCAGAAAAGGAGGACACACAGATGCTTACAAATCCTGCTTCCAGAGCAATAGCTGATGGAAGAGGAGCTCCAACAGCATCAGGTAAAAAAAAAAAAAAAAAAGATTCATCTTACACGTAGCTAGGCTTACAGTTAAAGGGTCTAGGCATTTCAGTGTCTAATTTAATATGTAATTCCTCTTTATAGATACTTTTATGTAATCTCTATGGGAGATAGGAATTCTCTGTCAAAAGTTCTTTTGGGAGACCATTTACCTTTACCTTTCTTGGACTGACTTCTTGTTTTGTCGACTTTCTTCTCCTTGCTTCTTTCTTATATCCTATTTCTACTAAAATAGGAATTGTTAGAGCTAAAATAATTAGAGGGGTTCTTGGTTTTTAAGCCAGAAAATACTTAATGGGATCAGAACTTAGGTTTAAGGATTTAATAGAATGTAACATTTCAGAAACACATGGCTTAAGTTTAACTGTGTACCTTAAATGTACTCCCATATTTGTGGGCAGAATCTCCCAAATTTAAATGTCATTTGTTATAATGTTATTTTGGGCCTCTGATGTGTAAAATCAGCCAATAACACATTTGGCTGGTGGATGGTTTTATGATATTGTAACATATGATATGGTTACATTGTTTAATTTAGAAGTTTTATAGAATTTTAACCTCAGCCAAAGAGTATACATGATTTATAAAAACAGGGAATACTAATTTCAGATGTTCTTCTAGTAAACTACTAATTTGGAGTTAGATGGATGAGAGACGTTTCAGTTGAGCCAGAAATGAAGGAAAATGTAAGACTGATTCTTGATCTGCAGCTTAGAGCATTAGGAGTGACTGTTTTAATAGTACCTTCCCTAGAGTCACTTTATTTACCAGCTCATCAGATGAAGTGTAAAACAGAGCTTGCTCTTTTCTGCTGGTGGCACATACTAAAATAAAATGATTGAAGTAACTTACTTTTTAGATCACTGCCTTTACCTTCTTTCAAAGTAAAAATGTAATATTAAATACATAGTTTTCTACGGTTTTATTTTACCAAAAAGATTGAAGTTACTTTGTTTCTGTATTTTGTTTTAAAAAAATCAGTGCCCAAATGTGAAGATTTATAGGTTTTGAAACATTTTGCATTTCCCAGATCTGATCCATTGCCTTTGTCTCTTTTCCAAGCCCCTTCTATCCATAGGGTAGTTAATTTTTCTTTTCCCTTTCCCCACAAAATTTCTGAGTTACCATTGACTTTTTGAGATATTTTTCCTGATGAAGGTCTTCTCCAGTTCTTTAATAATCTGTAGTTTATTAAAGATATGTACGGATATATGAAAAATATATTAAAGTTATAATGATTTATATCTTTTGGGGAAATTACTTTGATGTGCATTTGGAAATATTTATATTTTCTTTAAATATATTTTGTATATTGTAAAGAAAATATTGTATTCTCTTTGAATATTTAAGTAAATATGTATATTTTCTAATAGTAATATGACTGAAACATGGACCGATATAAGCAGCTATGTAATAACTGAGAATGATGTTACTGTATATCCTGAAATGTCAAAGTAGTGATTGCATATGGGATGGGAATCCTTGAAATTCAAATGATTTTGCTTCTAATCAGAGTAATAGCCTAGTCTTTTTCAGAATTCTATTGTATTTGCGGACATACGGCTAATTATGGCTGGGATGTGGTTCCTGGTTCTCATAATAGTTAAAATGTTTTTGGGGAGAGGGAAGGCACACACCTCTTGAAGTCTTGGAAATAATTTTGATGAAGTTACAGTAGTAAGACAGTTTTCTGGAGAAGCGAATGGTAGAGAGTAGTTTAGATTTGTGAGATGATGAATTTGTAGATGCGCTGAGGAGTGAGGCTCCTCTGCGTGTGATGACGGCCGGCAGCTTCAGTTGCTTAAATGAAGGAAATGCGTGGTTTAAATGTTAATTACTCAAAGTCCATTTATTAGAGGGTTGAACATAGCCACAGTGTTTGAATGTGGCGTGATGGGGTTTCTAATTTATTTCTGTTACTGCTTTTAATTTTTTATTTTTGGAGAAAGCAGTGGAATTTAGGTCATATCCTAATTGGACACCTTTTTATTAAAATTTTGTGAGTCTTTCTAACTTGCATTGAAATTCTGAGTGGTTTGATTGCTTTTTTCTCCTAACATTTTTGTTACCTACCTTTTCTCAATGGCTTTGCAGTCTTTGTTGGGCTTCTTACTGCTTCCCAAGGAGTCTTTCATGTACAAAGTACCAGCTGTTTTGGTTTGTTTGTTTTCTAGAATACATGTGTGTTTGCTTTGGTGGTTGGTTGGTTTCCATCTTCATTTTGTTTTATTTATTTATTTATTTTTAAAAAAGATTTTATTTATTTCTTCGATAGAGAGAGGGGGAGAGTACAAGTGGTGGGCGGGGGGGGGCAGAGGGAGAAGGGAGCCGGATGCAGGCAAAGGCAGTTGCTTAACTGACTGAGCTATACATCTTCATTTTAAAAGTAAATTTGTTACCTTTGAATTTTAAAACGTCTGTAGAAAGGCTTATTTACTCGAACTTTTATTAGAGGCATTTTCTGTCAAATTGAAATTTGACAGCAATTATATTGAATTTGAAAAAATACAATTTGTATTTTTGTCAAATTGAAACTCTTGGGGTCTTTAGAATGATGAGGTTGTTAGTCATGAGCTGTAAAATGGTTTAACAGACTTAGATTTTCAATTTTTTGTGTGTTTAAGAGACATCCACATTGCTGAATTTAAAAATTGTGGCAAAGGATTGATGAGATTATGTAAATTATCATAGATACCTGTTCTTTAACAGGTTAAAATTTTATTTTTTAGTTGTAGCATTAATGAACTCACACTAATCCTTCTATATTCTTTTACTGGGAACCATGCTGGCATGATGGTAATCTAGGTAAGAATACCATTGCTGTCCCCATTCCCCAAAGAAATCATTGGTACCCTTGTAAAAACTGATGCCTTTGTTTTCATTTTATTATTGGAGTGCTTGATCTAACAGAGCCAAGCAGATTTAGGTGAGGATAGAACCTTAGTTTTGGTACTGTCTGGAAATGTTAGCTCATTTTCTCATTTATCTGCTAAAATTATGTGTAACAAACACTGAATTGCTCTTACCTCTTTAAGGAGTTAAAAAGATAAGGAATCTCAGTGTAGGGAAGGGTGAGCCAGCAGTAATCCCAGAAGCTCTGATTTGTGGACCCCTAGCTTGGGCTATGGCGCCGTGCTAGTAATTTAAATAGATGGGTTTTAGTCCAGTGTCTTACCTCAACTTGGCATTTACTTTTAAAAAGTCTTTTTGTTTTTAAGTGTTTTTCAATTCTTTTCTTTTTTTCCAGAATTGTGCAAAACAAAACTACAACCAGGGACTCTGTAATCTCCTTCCACCCCCACACCAAATGTTGATGGCTCCTACAGAGCCTGGGGTTTCCATGGAGAGTCTCAGGGAATAGCCTCATTTTTTTAAGCCAGAGGAATTACAGATAGTTGGCATACTGGAAGGCGCTTGAGAGATCCCCTGCATTGCTGGGTTTGGTGTTGTGGGCAAGCAAATGCAATTCGGAGATTTCTCTCTTTTTACATAGCTCTGTTTGTTTTTATTGTTG